AATGGAGCAGGTCAGGACTGCATCTTTCAGCAGCAGCCTTCTGTTACCCCAGATTATGTGTAATGTGAAACTGCACTTGTAGAGAAAGGTAGATTTATGACACAAAGAAAATTAAAAATTGCACGGATTAGTCATTTTACAATAAAAATTCTGTTGAATTAGAAATATTCCGAACCAACAACTGTATCCCTAAAGTTATGTATGTTTTATTATCTAACAACAATTGAATAACTTTTAATGTTCAATTTTAAAATAATACATTTCAGCAATATAGAGATTTCATCTTGAACAACTATGAAAAATGCAAACCAAGATCCCCCAGTGCAGTTTGAATAAATGCAAGAAATGCTAGTAAAATAACATCTTTACAAAAGTTTCTCAGTTTTAGTTCTCCTCAGCCCTTTCTTATTGCAGCACAATACTTTCCATCCAGCCAGCTTGTCATTTTCCTTCTGCAGGAAAATACGGGGGAGGGAAGGAGTGGAGGAACAACCCAAACCTGATTTAACAGTCTATTCTGCAGTTCAGCAGCATACTGTGGCAATGTCTGCAAAATTAATCCTAGCACACTAAGGGACCCCTCGCTGAGCATAACCTGCCTTAAACCCTTTCCCATTTAACCGAGGGAGAGCTATTTGCTCAAGCACCTCATGATGACATCATTTGTTATTTGAGGCCAAAAGCTAAGGGTAATTAAAGCTGAAGGAAATGCTTTGAAAATTTTTGCAATTAAAATGTATGGAGACACTAGTAACAGATACTGTTGCAGAACAAAAGGAACATGGCTGGAAGAATTTAAAAAAAAAAAATCTTAGTATTGTGCAAGCATTGTGGAAGAAGATTGGAAAGCCCTTTGTCAATAGCACCTCATTCTACTCCCACCAAGGGAAATACACACACAAAAGAAAATACCAAGGCTGGAGCCATATGGGAATTGCAATTTTTGTTTATATGAGAGATATTCCCCAAAATATTCTGGCGTAATTTTAAAACATTTTATAACAGATTTACAAAAGAATGCACAGCAATTCTACAAGACTGGGCTTAAAAAACACCAGAGGAAGGGCCCTGCTAGGAATGACAATTGTTGCTGGCAGCCCTGCCTCTCAAACAAACAAACTCAAGGTTCTGTTTATCTAGAGTCTGGCACATTATTTTAAAACACAAATTTGAAGCAGTTGGATATCAGGATTGAGTTAGCTGCTTATTTTTGGAAAGAATAAGATGAATATGCAGATAATAAAAGACCAGAATGAACAAGATTTGTTAATACTTCCATGGAGAGTTAAAGCCTGTTAATATGGTAAGTTACAAGAGATAATTATTGTTTCTAATTAGATTATAATAGTAGCAACCACTGAAAACGCCACTCCTAAACTGAAATTTACATGTAGCCAACTTATGTCTTAAAGTCTCCAGCCTGGTGCCTCCTGAGAATGCTTCCCTGTAACTTCCTTTCTCTGCCAAAACCAATTAGAGCAATTTGCAGAAATAGTCAGATAACCACATCCTGTAGCACAGAATAAGATGCATCTCTGAAGTGAGAGAATTGCATTGCACTGTATGTCTCAATCCAAACATCTACCTGGGAACTTACAAATATTTGAATCATGATGGAAATTAAAGTGGCCACTATAATATTTTTTAGCATTTTAGTCGAACTGAATGCTTTGAAATGCAAGAGAAACTGTTAAGAAATCCACAGTATTTAAAGAGCACAAAGTGATTTCTTATCCTTCTAATAGGACAAAACAATGATAAATGAAAATCCTGGTGGCAATAAGTGTTTCTGCCTAGCAAACATTTGCATTGACAACACTGTATTTATTATCTCAGAAGAATTATATCAGTAGATGTAATACTAGAAGCCATTCTAAGTTTTACACCATAATGAGGGGTGTTTTTTTAGAATTACTGTCTACTTTGCCAAATGCTTTCACAGAATTATTTTGGTTGCTAAAGACCTCTAAGATCGAGTCCATTTTGTCAAGCAGAATATCACCTTGTCAACCAGACCATGGCATGAAGTTCCACGTCCAGTTGTTTCTTGAACACATCCAGGGATGGTGACTCCTCCTCCCTGGGCAGCCCATTCCAATGTTTAACAGCCCTTTCTGTGAATAAATTCTTCCTGAGAACTCCTTTCTCAAATGTAGAAATATTGGAGGCAAGATTTTAAAAGAGTGGATGTTCAGACCATCAAAAATATTAAGCACCCACTGATTTTCATTGTGTTCTGTTCATTATTGACCACTTGGAGCTTTTGCAAATCAGGTCTGACATCTCAAGCACGTGTATGCACTTGGAATTTAAATTCAGACACAAAGTCTGAACAGTTCAAAGGGGCAGTGATTCCCTGTGGGAGGGCCCTGTTGTGCCCACAGCCCAGCTCGGGAATGCGGGATTAAACCCCATGAACGTGTAGAACTGTAATTATTAACTCCAACCACCAGAGGGCAGAAGCAGCCCAGCACTTTCAGTTTAAATACAGATCGTTTCAAAATTTATGACTTTAAAGTCTGATTTAATATGAAAAAGCAAAATAAACAGCCAACAATCTTTACTGCAGAATACTTCATCTGATATCTTATTAATTTCCTTAATATGGCATCATTTATAGAAACTGAATCCCAAAATATTTTGGAGTATCACTATGATCCATTTAATACAATTCCAAAGATTAAAAGTGTGAAATCTATCATTAAAAGATATATATTCGCTTAATATATAAAACTTAATTTTGTTATACACAGACCAAAGACTGCCACAGAATATAGAAATTGTGGACAGACATTTAAAACCATAGGAGGAGTAAAATGAATGACATGTACTGGTAAAATAAAAATTTGGTGCTAAAAAAAGCAAGAAAGGATTAGAGAAAAAAAGGTACAATAATTGAGTTGGTGCAAGGTTATGGAGGTTATTTTTTTAAAGGTCACAATGAGATAATGAGTTTGAAACATATGCAATTTAAAAATGGCAAATTCACAAAATATTATAGAGATTAATAACAAGACTAATAACATAGATAATTTTTAATGAAGAGGACTATCTCATACCACCTGCTAACTTTTGTCCTTTTTGCTCCAAATTGCACGAGATTAAGGAAAAGAGTGACAGACTATACTCATTGGGTTCTCAAGCCATCACAGTGGTAGAGGAAAACTGGTTTAGGAACTAGGAAAGGAAAAAACATTGGAACATAAATCCAAAAAGAAGGAATATTCATTTCCCTTGGAATCTAGGTATTGTATTAGTTTTACCAGGCACATCTACAGATCCTTCCAACATCCCGAGCCAGAAAACTGATATGAAAAGCATTCCTGGTGCCTGTGTGAATCCACAGCCATTCTGTTTGCTCAAGGCACTGGACTTCACACCCACCAATTCACAAGGTGGATCAAAACACACTTGCAAAATCTAGTCTTTCATTGCTTTTTTGTTCCTTTTTTATCTTTTTGTTTTTTTTCTTATTAAGGCACAGGCAATGCATTACTTACTCTGTCACTCTAATACCACCCCCACAGCACATCCATATGATCAAATGAAAAACATACTTAGGGATGTGAAAGTCACTGGCAATTACACCACAGCTACACCAAAGATGTGAATCCCTGAGCATTTTTGATCATTTTCTTACCTCATTGCTTAATAAACAGCATCCTGCAAAAAAACAGATGTTAGAAGAAATCCCATTTATTTCTTCTTCTAAACTCAACACACACATGAATAGTGTTCCAGTTTGCTAATCAATCTAAGAAAGAGAAGCTGCAGTGCAATGCTAACACAGCACTTCACACTTCCTGGGATTCTCCTGAAAATACTGCTGGTCCCACCAGTATAAGCTTTGGGTGCCCAAAATAGAAAGACCAGTCTTTGACATTTTCTGTCTAACTCTTTCCCCTCGTGTCACACACATCAAGGCACTATTTCCCCACAAAGGAATCTCCAACCGAAGGCTCTTCAGCAGCCCTGGATTCCCCTCCCTCACCAACAATCCTGTTTGACCACATGAACTCCTTTTGCAATGCAATCAGGTGGGATCCTGACACCCCTGAAGAGGCTGAGCAGCTCCAGCTCCCCCTCACATAACGATCATTTCTACTTTTTAAGTAGAAATGTAAAGTTAAAGGTTCTCCTTTGATCTGCCAATGCCTTTACCTTGGGAGGAACAAGCTAAGTTAAGATGAAGTAAATAATGCAGCAATGCTTTTAAACTTTTTGCCCCTCAGCACTATGTGGGACACCCTTAGTACCTCACACCAACCAGTCACCCTGCTGTAACATTTGCTGACTGAGAGCTGGATACCAGGGCTGCTGCTATAATTATTCTGCTACAATTCTACTCCTTCTCTTCAATTGCTTTGTCAGACTTCTGTCACTTGAGACCAGTTCCATTACTGGAGACATGAAATGTATTGAGCTGTTTGCCAGATAATAGACTGAGGTTCTTAGGCATCAATCTGTACAGATTAGTCTAATCTGTTGCTGCTGGAAACTTTGTTTCCAGCAGTAGAGTAGACAATAGTTTCAGATTACCTGCAATAAGGTTAAACTATAGGCAGTATATGTTTTGAGGTGTGAAGAAAAACAAAACAGAAGAATGCCTTCCCAATATTGGCTTTACCAGATGAGGTAGGTATCTGAATTGAGATTTCAGTTTCTCTAAGAACTGTTCCTAATGGGTTTGGCTCAATTTGAATTGCTTTATTTGTGAATGTTCTCTCAAATATTTTGGAATGCAGGATACAACAGAAGTTCAGTTAGGAACACAAACCACAGAAAATTAACATTTCAATATTGGATAAAAGTTTGTTATTTTTACATTAAGATTTCCCAGAGAAATTCAAACAATTCAAGATTTTAAGGATTCTATATAAAAATGAAGCCAATGAGCCAGTGAAATTAAAGACATAAAATGGCCACCACCTGTTCTAAAGTAATTCAGCCTTTCAGCTATATTTTTCATAAAATATAGGAATGTTTTTATCTGAACTCCCATAGCTCAACCGATCAACCAAAATACTAAGTAAGGACTGAAGGTAGATCATCCTTCCCTTTAGCTTTTCCTAGTATGAGATTACCTAAAATGATTTTTGTTCTATTGTCCCATTTTCTCAAACTTACCTTTCATTCCAAAGGACAGCAGATATCAGGGATGAAAGCATGCAGAAAGGAAGATCAACACCGTGTCTGTTCATGACAGAATGTAGGATTTGTGTCTAGTAAGAAATACAGGCTGAAGTCTCACTGAAGGGCCTCAGCACTTCAGGGAAGTTCCCAGGGCTCTGCTGAACAAAGAACAGCAGAAACCTGGACTTACAATGTTTTCCTACATTGTGGCCATGAAGAGTTGGGTGGGGGCTGTTTTGTATAAGGCTCTCCTTGACTTCAGGCTGAATATCAAATATGAGGATAATTAACTTTCATGTAATGTTTGATAAAAATGAATCCCACACCCTAAAATTAATGGCAATGATCTGGATATCTGGTCTGGTCCCAACTGATTTGATCCTGTGAAATGCTACATTCTGTCATTAAAAGATAATAAGGCAACTTCCATAACTAGAATGCTTATACTGACAAGAGAGGAGATATCCAAGTTGAAGTATTAAATAGGCAAATACCCTAAATTAATTGAAATTATATAAAAAGATTATAATTTTCAGCTTCTTTTAACTGGGCAATTGTTCAAACTGAACAGTCAGCTGAATATTACCCCTTCCATTTGAGACAGTTTTCATAAAGAACATAATTTTTGGAAAAAGATATCATATTCTTTATAAATAAGCTATTTAAACTCCTATGTAACACATAGTCTGTTTTGGGTAGCAAAATCTATTTTGCATAATGTGTATTTCAGCCTTTAAACAGACTTTTTCTACAACCTTGAAGCTTTGTCAAATCATCTTCAGTTAAGCTGTAGTAATTCACAGTAGCTGAAAATCTTGTGCAACCTAAGGTTTGTATTTTTTAAGCTGCAAAAATATCTAAACTTCTCTGAAAATACTTACTCAAAGATATAGGAAAAGTTCCCTTTTTCCACAAAAAGTAGATTGTAATAATACTTCAAGTATTTACAGTTTATTTGAATGAAAATTATAATAAACTTTCAAATCTGGGCATAAAATCATAATTACTATACCATTACTTAATACAGGCTATTAATAATTCTCCGTGCTCTGTTGTAGTACTGTAACACCAAACCATCCTTCTTTCTACTCCAGCAGGCTGGAGGTGAAAGTATTTTTCACCATTAGAAACTGAGATTCTCTGTGTGATCTTTTCAGCTTTGCACGACGGTTCTGGAACCAGATCTAAAATGAAAAGAGAAGGCAGGCTTTTCAGAAAGCACTGAAAGCAGAATAATGTTTGAAACAAATATATTCACACAGCATTACAATATTTTGTGTCATGACAGCTCTTTGAAAGTTAAATGCAAATTTAAAATCTGCAGATGATGGCATGCAGCTACTCGCTGGAATTCTAAGAGCACAGACAAAGAAAGTAACATCCCCAGCTTCACTGCAATTAATATAAAAACTAGTATTAATTTCAGTGACAGTCAGACCCTGGAGGATCTCAAACATCTGGAATTCTGTCTTCATTTGCCACATCAAGTTTCCCATCAACCCCAATATAATAGTTGCATCAAAAGCTCAATAAACATCAAGGTGAAGCCCAAATTCTAATGTCTACAATATTTTTATAATATTGGACTATGTGGAAATCAATAGTCAATATCCCTGAGCAGACCTTGGTTTTGATCAGATGAAGACAGAGGTTCAAACACTGACTTAACAAATCTATGCTCTACTGACAGTCTCAGTTATACAAATTATTTCAATATCTGTTCCATATTTGTTTTTCAAATATGGAGATAAACATCATATAAACATGATTTTAAAGCATGGAAGTAAATGATCAAGTTACATACATGATAACTAGAGATTAACAGATCAGATATCATGGAAGTATTATAGTGATTATTGCCTCATCAATGCTTTGGAATAAGGTTTTAGCTTTCAGAAGGAATTAAATGGCTTCTATTTCACAAATCATTGAGGGCATATTACATGTATGTACATTGATTCATATTGAGATTATTAATATTATTGCTACTGCTGTCAAACTACTTATTTATATAACCAGAGGGGACATATAAATGCAATTAGAGAAAAGTTCAAATACATTTTTAATTACCTGGATCCTGTCTTCATCTAAGTCTAATTTGCGAGCTAGCTCTTCTCTAATATCAATGCCGGGGTAGGAGTTCATTTTAAAAACATTTTCCAAGACTTCAATCTGAGGAGTTTAAAACACACTTGTTGAATAGTTGTCACTACTTTCATAGCAGTAATACAGAAATGAAATACAGAAAAACAGGTTTAGTTTGTTCAACAGGAGACTTCCAAGCAGGGTTTGCACAGCTCTGATTCCATGCACAAACACAGCTCTGCTGAAATTAGCACCATTCCTGTTAATTGACACTTGTTCCTGATTGCATTTCTCTCTGCAGAAGTACCTCACACTGCATTAGGCAGCTGTTTCAGGCTTCTACCAACATTTCACTGAACTCCATTGTTACTCACTTGTTAAATACTGAGAAAAGCCCTACCTGGTTTCTAGTGAATGCAGTTCTGGGTCTTCTACCCCTGTACCAGCTCAATTCCCGTTTGAAAGACAGCCTTTCAGTGACTGAAAAATATTTTTCACATTTCAAAACTTTTTCCTCTTGCACTGGATCACTGTTAGCATGAAATAATGGATTTTCATAGCAAACAACAGGGATTTGGAGGTGGGGATTACTGTCATCACCTAAAACTAGAAAAAGAAAGCAAAGGAGAGCTTCAATTTACTGGTTTCCAATATAAACATGCAAATACTTTTAGAGTAAGAGCCTGAGAGACTACAAACCAGACTGACTTACCCAAGCTGGTGCATGCATCCACCCAGGGTCTGTGAGGTTTCACAGCTGGAATGGCATCTTTCTTCTGCTCCAGTCCCAAAATACTTTCGATTGAAAAGGAGCACTGTGTGGTTTTATTCTCTACAAAGTCAGACACTCTGTGAAGGTTCTGCGGCGCTGCTGCTGTACTGGCAGCACACAGCGATGGCCCGGCCATGCTCTCCCCCTCAGCCAGCATAGCAGGGACACTGCACTTGCATTTCTCCACAAGCCCTTATAGCTGTGTTGACAAGGGGGTTGGATTTGCAACGTCATTAATTAAAATCTTTTATTAGAAAGTTTTAGCATGTCAATGAAAACTCTCCCACCAAGAGGCACGAGGAGTTAATTGTTTATTTGTTTGCAAGTAATTAGCAACTAATGGTGACACTAGGGGGGCCACCAAGGGGGACAAAAAGTGTTATCTCTCCTAACCAGAGCATCGACTTAACTTTCTCAAAAGAAGCTGTGCACAAATATAGTACTTCTCTTTTATTTGAAATCATTAATGTATAAAATCAGTTTTTTAAAAAACTTTATACTCTAATGGACTCCACTTACCTAAACATAGCAGCATGATAGGAAACCAGTCAAGTAATAAGTAATCTCATTTAAGTGAATTTCCTTCCAAGGAAATTTAAAAAATAATCTCTTAATGCTATTAGGGTAATCCCGATGAAAATGCCTCTGTTTTTTCATATGCATATGTAATGGTGAACGTGGTCAATGAAACAACAATAGCTTTTGGCATAAGGCACTGTGCAGTGGGTTGGCAATGTTGTCAAAGCTCAGTGTAATTGCCTTCCAAGTGCCTGGATTAGTTAATAGGAACAGTTGCACCAACTATTTTAAATAATTCATGCATTCATTTTTCTTATTAAAATAACTTTGTTGCAGCTTCTCTGAAACATACCAGATGTGACATTTCCTGATAATTCTTTGCAACATAAAAGCAAAACTTAAAGTAAAGGAAGCAGTACACTCAAATTTACTGGTTTAAAAACTCCCTTTTTCTGGTAGAGGTCCCTCCCTTCCTGTAGGTTTATAGGCAGTAGAAGTATATTTAAATCCTACAGAGTAAACACTTAAAATTACAAAAAAATATATGAGTAGTGAGGAGAAAGGAGATAAAGGCTTTTTAACGAGGCTCAAAGTCTGCAAACAGAATTCTGATCTCATCCATTGTAGAGAAACTACCGACTATAACATTTTTATATTCAGCCTCAGCCATCAGCCACACAAATTACATGTCACATGCTCAAAACCAGGTTTTGGTTCAGGACAACTTCTCTACAGAAATTCCTCCTTTTTTTATTTTGGGCAAAGCTTTACTTTATAACACGCAAAAATGAAAACAGTATTTTCGTTTCAGGATGCAAAAGTTCCCCCTTCTTACTGGCCTGATTTTGTGTTGTGCAATAAGATTGTTGTCAAACCAAACTCATCAAAAGTGACAATTCAAGGAGTGCTCTTACCGAGGGCACTTCTCAGCACACATCAATGGATCCTGAAGAGGCACCAATCCACCTGCAGTGACCACCTGCAAGCTGAGCTCCAGCCACCACAAGGGTAGATTTACAGAAAAGCCAGAAGGACCTGGGTATGAAACCACAGCTTGCTGGAGGAGTTGGTGAACTAGAGGTCACTGGGAAGCAGAGTTAAGCAAGGGCTTTACAGCCCTTTATGTCTCAGTACAGCTGTGCCCAACAACTCTGGCCCCAACAAAGCAGTTCAGAGAGTTCAGCCTGCCCACCAGGCCCAGGAGTTACTGAGGAGAACATGCAAAGCCTCCTGTATAGCAGGGATAGGTAGATCAGTTTTCTGCCTCTGCAGTCTCTAAGTGGAACACCAGCTTTTAATTTTCTTTTTTAAATCCTACAAAACACATAAAGTCAAAAAGAAAACAATATATCTCCTTCTGTGTTGAACTTGGAGCTGCTTACAGGTTTCTCTGTCCCAAAGAGGTAACAAGCATGATCACCAATAGAGAGAGACACTCTTCAATCCAGAAACCAGTGGGTAATAACAATAATACAAAAAACCCTCTGAATGATTATGATACAAAAAGCTAGTTTTCAAACACAGCCCACTATTTTTCTTAAACAACTTAAAAAACCAACACAGTGACACAAAACACATGTAAAAAATATTGATTTCTCCTGGATAAATATGAATGAAATCAACGTGAGCCACACAGCTGAGACTCAGATTACCACACCTTCATGTCCCAAAGACATAAATACCCCCACAGGTTTTCCCTTCAGGAAGCTACCAAGAGCTATCAATAAAGAGAAGGATGTGTGGTGGTCAGAGAGACATTTATGAGAAGCTCATATCTTCCACACACCTTCCCAAAGCTAACCCAGTATTTATAAGTTATTTCTGGTCTCTCTGTGAATTTGGAAGATGGAAAAAAACCCATCCTTCAGGATAGTCTGCTTTTAACTCCCAGTTGGAAACATTCTTTCAGAGCTTTTTAATGAATTTTCAAGGAAAAGAGATCTTAGTAGCTCTCAAAATGAATTTCCATAAAATAGGTCAAAGCCAGTTAACTCATTCACTTGGCACAGGCCAGGACATCACCCAACACTGCCATCCAGTGTTTGGGCTTCTCAGCTGTTAAATTCCTTCAGCAATGTCATAGGAGTAAGAAACCATGTTATCTCTAAATCAATCATGTTATATTCATTGCTCAATGTTGAATTGAATCACAGCTGGAGACTGCAATGCAGTCACAAACATCTCAACACTCTTGTTTTTAAACAGAGTTCATGATTGCAAGTGCATTATAGGAGCAGAAGTTTATTAAAAAGTCACATGAAAAGACAAATTAGTCTAGAGATAAGAAGCCTGCACTATACCAAAATTCCATTATATCCCTTCAAGTGTCCAAGATGAGATTGGATGGGGCTTCGAGTGACCTTATTGAGTGAAAAAAGTCCCAAAGGGGCACTGGAACTGGATGAGCTCTAAAGGGCCCTCCCAACCCAACCCATTCTATGATTCTTAAACAACATATATGTAGAGATGAAAGACTGGAAAGTCTGGCTGCAGGTCTCTCATTCAAAAGTTGCTGGGTTTCTTTGAAGAGAAGTTTGCTGAGCTATAGAGTAAAACTATTTGTCATCAAGATAAACAGTCAACAGAACTTTCTGTTTCCACAGGACAGAATACTTCAAGTTTTAGATTCAGGAATACCTGGTATTACAGATTAAATTTCTAGGAATTCCTACTGTAACTATAAATGGACCTTGAGCCTTCACTTCAAAACTGCATTTTGTTATTTTGGCCCATCAATACTTGCCTTGCAACCTATGTGAAATTACCTATAGACCTTTAGCTAAATACCTCTGTAGTGGCAATTAGAGCAACACAACAAACATTAAGTTGAGAATCCTAACTAATCAATTATAGGAGAACTCACTGCTCCTTGGATATGCAAATCCAATCCTCTTACAGCATCACATTCTTGATGAGGCAGCAAACTAATCTCCCTTTCAGACTTTGCACCACTGTTTTTTGCCCAGGGACAGTGGAGTTCATCCATTTAGTAGATGAAGCTCTTGTTCTTTAGAGATGTGAAGCCTCTAAGGGCTGTTTATAGCAGCTCAAGAGACCACACCGAGAGCTCTCGGGGGCTTTGGGCTGAAACCCCAACCCTTGCTCTTGCTGCCTTTTGCTCTTCTCCCCCATTGCTACTCAGCTGCTGGGTCACCTTTCACTGGACAACATTTTCAGCTTTAGGAAAAGGTATAAATGGTATATATAATCTTTCTTGATTACCTATCACACTCCAAACATTTGCCTTTCATCTCACCTTTTAACCCACAGCATGAATGTTTTACCACCTCAGAAGTTGTTCTGTATAAAGCTCCCTTTCAGATATGTTTTGAACATGATGAACACACACTATATTCTACATCAGCTTCATAAGTCAAAGGCTTTTTTTTTAAGCAAAAATGGTAACACCAATTTTAACAAAACATGACCAAAAAGAAGTAGCTACTTTTTTGGCTGAAACCAAAAAGCTATTTTGACCCAGGGAGATTAAGTGAAGACAGATAAATTCAAGGTAAATCCAAGGGTGCCACGAGCAAAAGTCTGAGAAACAGTGTGTTAAACAGCGAGAAACATGCAATTAAAGCCCACCTTATCCACACAGCTCCTTTCACCCTCCAGCAGAGGCAAAATGTTCTCTCCATTAGGGCACACATCTGGAATACTCTAAAGAGCTGTTGGCTGCTTTTCTTCCTGTTTATATAGTGCCAAGTGTTAGTTCCTCTCATTTTTAAGGCCTCTTAGTAAATATTTTGCAGAAAGGACAAAAAACCCCCGTCAGTCCCACAAATCAGAAAACCCGAATCAAAAAATAAATCACACGATAAGAAAAAGCCTAAAATGCTGAAAGCAGTGTAACACTAAAAATGTACTTATTAAAGGGTTCAGAGGGATTCTTCAACTCATTACTATCAAATCTCATCTGTTGGTGTCAAATTCATAGCTCAAATAAAACTTTTGGATACCTCGTATCATTTGGAAAAACATGCACAAAAGGTAAGAACAAGAAAAGTAACAAGTAACGCACAGAATGTGTCAGCATAAAGGACATATTAAAAAAGCTGAGAAGCCCTGGTACACTGCAGAATTATTAGAAAGGCCACCCACTAAACCAAATCATTAAACTGAATTACTAAGATCAACAGAAACAAGACACGTTTCTATGGTACATGCCAGCAGGGATAATAAAGCACATTATTGCATATTAAAGGGCATGTTTTTTAGGATATTGTTTTCTCTTCCACAAAACATTTAATTCTCAAGGAGCTGTTCTCTGCTGATAGCAGCTAAGAAATGTTATTTTTTTTTCTCTGCCACTTACAGCTGCAAATATACAAAGCTAACTAAACTCAATTCCATTTAAAGTTATTACCTTCCTGAATTCTGCTGAGGAAATACATCTTACAGCACAAAACAGAGGTATTTCTTACAGGAGACTGCTGTAAAACTTAGGCACAAGTTAACTGATCTCAACACCAGAAAGCAGGTCATGAGCCAATGCTCTGTCACATAATTACAGATACAAGACTTCGTTTTCATAATACCTTGCAAGATAACTCTGAATTATTATCCTCACATGACAAGGAAAGAGAGAAGTAGCGTGACTTGCTCCGGTCAGGTGAGTCACAGCTGAGCTGGTAAATGAATTGACTGAACAAGGTACTAACTTGGAAATTTCTTCACCACTCCCTACAGGAAAACAAACAAACAAAAAAAACCCCAAACCAAAACACCCCCCACCAAAAAACCCCAAACTATCAAACAAACAAAAAACTTACCTCAAAAATCTTTAGTTGTTTGTAATTTAACACCAGACTTTATCTGCTTTTAAAGGTAAACCACAATCTGGTACAACATAAAGAAACGTCTCCATAGCAGAACTAAACGGTTGTTAATCATTTGCTCTGTTGAAAGCACTTCATGCACTTTCTAATCTGGTTTTATACTAAGTTCACCTGGTCCCAAAAAGGCAAAACTATCAAGGAAACAGCCTCTTTTTTCTTTTTTTTTTTCCAGCTGTAATAATAAACATATCTAAAAATTATCATCAAGTCTATCGAGTCTTGCTCTCTAACTACCTGAAAGGAGGTTGTAGCCAGGTGGGAACTGGGCTCTTCTCCCAGGTAACAAGCAATAGGCCAAGAGGAAACGGCCTCAAGTTGTGCAGGGGAAGTTTAGGTTGGATACTGAGAAAAATTTCTTCTTGGAAAAGGCAGTCAGGCAGTGGCACAGGCTGCCCAGGGAAGTGGTGGAATCACCATCCCTGGAAGTGTTCTAAAGGCGTGTGGATGTGGCAACTGGGACCATGGTTTGGTGGTGAACACAGTGGTGCTGGTTCATGGTTGAACTTTGTCTTAGAAGTCTTTCCCCACCTTAGCAACTCTACAATTCTATGATTCTAAGTAATTTCAGAGTTGAACCAGTTTGCGAGTTCAACCAATGATCTGGTTCAACTCCAGCAAGCCCTCACAATAGTTTTTAAGCATTTAAAATTGGCCTCCAACCTATAGCACCAAACTTATCCAGTCTAAGAGAGCAGGGAGCCCGCCAGAACTGAACTCTTGCTTCTGAAGGGGAAAATTTGGTGGTCAACAATGGTTTTTTTTAATACACAACCAGGAAAAAGTCCTCAGCACTTTGTAACAAAAAACTAGCTTGATAGGGATAGAAATACTTCTTCAAGTGGTGGAGAGATATACAGAATCATCAAATCACCAAGGTTTGAAGAGACCTTTAAGATCACCCAGTCCAACAGCCAGCCCAGCACCACCACAGTGAAATTTTTCTGGTATCTAATCTGAATCTCCCTCGTCTCAGTTTAATGCCCTTTCCTCTGTTCCTCTCACCGTAGGCACGGTACGAGAGACCGGCCCGCACCTGGGACCCACCCCCATGGCAGGGATAAGAGGAGACTTCCCAAAGGTGACGCGGAAAGAGCGCCAAAGCTGCTCCATCACGGCAGGGGCACAGCGGCGTCACCGCGCTGTGGGCTGGCCCCCGAGGCGGCCGTCCGTGAGGAGAGAGCA